TCACATGCCTGTGTACCCTATAATGCTCGAAAACATTGAAAATGCTTCTTACTAAAGACAGACAATTTTTTCGACTCACAGTCTACTTTGTTTAGGGCTAGTTCAACATGGCTTTAAACCTGAGAAGCCGAGTGTGGTGATGTGCAACGCTGGAGTGCAGGCTTGCATGCTCGCATATGCAATTCACAGCGTATTTCCAAATAGCCCAATCCAAGTGTACAATGTAAGTCATGTCTGCACATTTTTCAAAAATATTCTTTCATCGCTATTAATTATAGGGATCGATGGGAGAGATGAAAGTACGTAATCCCAAGAGAATATCGGCTGTTATGGAAAACGTTTGAAAGTGACTGTTCATATGAAAAGCGCACATTATTATTGTTTTGTTTCTTATGCTCCAAACCTTAATTATCAAAATAAAGCCTTGCTTCCAACAGAAGAGCAAGCAGCCTGATTTCAATTTATTTGGAAGGTCATGAGAAAGGCATAATCATATGCATGATGCATGCTTGCATAAAATATGGACAAGTTCTTCTCATGCAATAGTTTAAAGCAGGATCAATCATTGCCGAGTTTTGGAATATTATCTGGCACATCGTTCTGGTTTATGCTTTGAATCAAAATGAAGACAGATGGAGCATTTAGAACAATCCACCGTTGGTGCGTTGTCGGTTTACCAGAACACGTCTAGCCCGTCTCATAATTTTCCTCCGCAAATCCTGTACTTCCGAGGATAATCAAAACATTTTCAAATGAAGCCTCAGGAAAGCGAAAGTACCTTGAAGATAGCTTTCTTCTGCCAGTAAACATTTTAGTCACCATCAATGTGACGACTAGTACTCTCGATGGCCTATGGAAGGAATGGCAAATAAGATAAAGAGACTAGGAAGTTATATATAGGGCTAGTGTCTTTCTATGAAATCTTCATGTTCGAGAGCGCCTAAAGAATAAAGGAAATATCTGGACTTTCCTAGTGGAAGATAGAATTCAGCTCGTAATGGGTTTAACTCTGGCCAATTACTGGGCGCTACGCCCCAAAAATCCGGATTGTCAGGTGAATAAAGCTGTACAAGCTGGTTCGAGAGCGATCTAGTTTGATCTTGAAGATCTGCGAGCAGAACACATTAGGAATAACCCATCCAAGTCGGAGAGTCAGGGTTACAAAGTACATGGACATTTAGTTTTAAGTACTTCCGAATTATATTTTGACGCATTTTTGTCTCCTTGTCCTCTTCCATAAAAAACACTCAAGAGCTTTTTTCTCTTTACATTTGTATATTACTTTTGCAAGTAGGAAAAGAAGAAGACTCAGTCTGTAATCACACTACCATATATTTCACGGACCATGGAATTCACAGTTCTAAACAATGTTCCGTTTTTATTACGCTGAATGAAGGAGCATTTTTTCAAGTTTCACAAAAATTAGTTTTAAAGGAAAAAAGTCATCTAAAATATTACACGTTAGCTTGTTTTTA